TCCTGCTGGTAAATTGTACTGCACTTGGACTATTTATTAATAGTACGTTTTTTTTAATCCTCACAGAAAGCCCTTTAATGGAGTGTGTAATTGGAACACCCACTGGTATATCTGTTAAATTTACTTAAATCTTGCCCATTAAAACCTCAGCAAAGACTTTCATAGCTAAGGCCACAATTCAAAGAGATTAAAACCTAGCCAGGAAGGCTTTCCTTGAAGAAATTGACAGACCTATCAAAAGTTCAAGGACAACAGCTGTCTTAGAGTAAGTGATGTTGAATACACACAAAGGAGGCCATGTAATAATTATAGAAAGAAGTTGACATGAAGGTGCCTGGGCGCTGGTCTCAGCACTTAGATCTGTAAAGGAATTGATTTATAAATAATAATAACTGTAGGCACTACACCAAGCCCATGTAGAACCCTAAAGTATATTGTATGGGTTGGAAAATCCCCCAGTCTCCCACACAACAGGCTTCCTCCTTGACTTGAAAGCCTTCTATAGCATAAAAAACGTAAGCAGGAATATTGCAGTTAGAATACATTAAGCGCGAGACCATCTAGAGAAGACTTAGCTCAACAGTTCACCTCATTCCAATAAATGCTTACATACCCAGTTAAAATATGCAAATCACTGTACTAAAAGCAGTGGGAGCACAAAGATGAGAAATAATAGTTTTCTGCTATAAGGTCAAACTCTCTCATTATTAATAGTCCTGCAAAGTGGATACTATTATCCAAATTTTATAGATAGATGCTTCAACCTAGCAGTGAACCCTTGGATATGTTTACACAGTACAATTATTTAAAAGACAGAAAACCATTGATCTTTATTACATTATTTGAGTACATAATTGTCTTTCTCTAATTTACCAGTGGGCTGTGACTCATGATAGTCAAGGATCTCATCTTAAACATCTGTTAATAAATTCATAGTTAGCATCCAATAAATATCTATACTAATAAAAGGGTAATATGCTAATTAGGTTGGGAGACCAAACATCTTCCTACTATCCGACTTCCTTCCAGACAAATACACAGTGATGGGGGCTGAAGCAGAGGCAGTTAGGGGTGATTAGGCTGGCAGGGGAGGGCAGTTGGGGGCCATCAGGCTGGGAGGAGAGTAGTTAGGTGGTGATCAAGCTGTTAGGCAGGCAACTGGTTAGTAGCCAGCGGTCCCAGTTTGCGAGGGGGATGTCCCGGATTGGAGAGGGTACAGGCTTGGCTGAGGGCCGCACCCCCACTGTGCATGAATTTTGTGTATGGGACCTCTAGTTAGTATGAATAAATGAATGAAAGGCAAAGGTCTTTAACCAGATTATGCCCAATGCTTCCTCTATTTCTGCAACAAAGATATGTTTAATCTGACATAGAATTAAATTTTCTTGCACGATTGAATGTAGGGACTGTTATGATACACTTAGAGGCCTGGTGCATGACATTCATGCACTGTGGGGAGGAGGGGTTCTCAGCCCAGCCTATGCCCTCTTGCAGTCCGGGAGTCCTCGGAGGATGTCCGACTGCTGGTTTAGGGGAGAGGGCCTAAGCCGTCAGTTGGACATCCTTAGCGCTGCTGCGTGGGCCAGCTCCCGCCACCACCGCAGTGCTCACCAGCTGTGAGCCCGGCTTCTGGCTGAGTGGTGCTCCCCCTGTGGGAGCACACTGACCATGGGGGGCAGCTTCTGTATTGAGTGTCTGCCCTCTGGTGGTCATTGCATGTCATAGCAACCAGTTGTTCCATCATTTGGTCAATTTGCATATTAGTCAATATTATATAGGAAAGTAAAATGGTTCAAAATAACTGAATATTTGGTCATTATAGAGCCAGGATTGGCAGCTTCTCCTTGGGTAGAATGGTAATCAATCAGTTGTTGCCCACTGTCCTCTGGAACAATTACATTTGCAAGGATTTCAGAGAAAAGAGCAATGGTGTCCTGCCCAAATAAACTCCTCTGCTTTGCTCATCCATCTCTGGAGGCTGTCAGATCCTCAGGACAAGTTATAGAAGGGGATACATCTTAAAAGTATAGTTGCAAATGGAAACTCTAAAAATAAAATGTGATTAAATTATTTTTTATACTCTGAATAATTTAAGGGCCATTCTGACAGGAAGGAGTGGACTATCATCTCACCATAATAGAAAGGTGATGAGAAGCTACTTTCAATGAAAGTTCATTATGTTTGAAAAGTGAGCAGTTGATTTCCTCTTTGCTGAAAGAGATGTGCTTCTTCTAATAGAGTTGCAGAATCAGATGTGGTCTTTGGTTAGCACTGAAGAGAAGGGAGTAAGGACTGCTGACTCTTACTGTCAGATTGACCACTTTAGCTCTGGTTAAGCATCACTGGATTTCTTATTTCTATCAGCTGAAATTACATTTTTTAAAAATATATTTTATTGATTTTTTTACAGAGAGGAAAAGAGAGGGATAGAGAGTTAGAAACATCGATGAGAGAGAAACATCCATCAGCTGCCTCTTGCACACCCCCTACTGGGGATGTGCCTGCAACCAAGGTACATGCCCTTGGCCCGAATTGAACCTGGGACCTTTCAGTCTGTAGGCTGACGCTCTATCCACTGAGCCAAACCTGTTTCGGCTGAAATTACATTCCTGAATAATGCTTTGAAATTTTTAGATGAAGATAGCCACATACCCTATGAATTCATTCAGTATGTTTTATGCACTCTTAGTCTGCATTAGTATTATTGTAGGTCACAGATACCAAGGGCAAAGGTCAGATTTGTTAACTCTTCTATAGCATCAAATATTCAATTAACAAAATCTTGATGTTTAGTGATAAACTTTGAACCTTTATGTAGTTCCAAAAACAGAACAATTTACCACGAAGCTAAATTTAGTCAATTGGGTTAAAATAATTGGATTTTAGAGTTACCATTTTTTCCCCCTAAATTTAGAAATTTCCTGTTAAAGTGTGGCTTTTAGAGGGAAAATGGCTTCATTATCTGCATTAAAAGAAACACTTTAAATTATTAATATGCAACAATAGAGATTTAGTAATCTTGTTGACTGACAGATGCAAACCTCTTTTTTTGTCCTAATGTGAAATCTCAGCAGGAAGAACTCCTGAACACCTGCTGACATATCTAAGGTTGTGAAAGGGCTTCAGAAGATTAATCCTTGACTAGGTGCTTGGTATGGAAAATAAAGTAACTGTTTTTCTTTGTAGAGGTGTACCTTTTAATTTTAAACAGTTAAAAATAATACTTACTTGGCCGAAACCAGTTTGGCTCAGTGGATAAAGCGTCAGCCTTCGTACTGGAAGGTCCCAGGTTCGATTCCGGTCAAGGGCATATACCTTGGTTGCAGGCACATCCTCAGTAGGGGGTGTGCAAGAGGCGGCTGATTGGTGATTCTTTCTCATCGATGTTTCTAACTCTCTATCCCTCTCTCTTCCTCTCTGTAAAAAATCAATAAAATATATTTAAAGAAAATAATACTTCCTTGGAGATTTAATAACATTCTAGGGCTTTTCAAAAATTAAAGATGTTTCAGTCCGGGCTGGGTGGCTCAAATGGTTGGAGCATTGTACTTTGCACCAAAAGTTGGAAGGTTCAAGTCCTGGTCAGGGCACATACCTGGTTTGCAGGATGTTTCTCTCTCTCTCTCTCTCTTCCTCTCTAAAATTAATAGAAACATAATCCTCGGGTGATAATTTTTTTAAAAAGATGATTTAAAGTTGACTTGAGGGTAGATTTATAGTATTAAATAGCCAATTCACAAATGAACAACTGGAGAAAACCTTCAAATATTGATTTGTGATGGTAATCTTAAGAAAATAAATTTACATTATTTCCTACTAAAATTTCTTTGAATCTATAGTTTTCCATTGATTTTTAGAGTGTAGAAGTGGGTGGGCTAAATTACAGCATAACATAAAACAATGCTCTAAACTAGGGGTGTCGAACTCAATCAGAGAAGGGGCCAAAATCTAAAATCCAGCCTAAATCGCGGGCCGAATGGTTTACTGAACAGTCATAAACTGTCATTGTGATGGAAACGCAGCAGAGTGCAGTGATGACAGCACGGTGCGGGCCACATTGCAAGGCCTGGCGGGACGGATTTGGCCCGCGGGCCTTGTGTTTGACACATGTGCTCTAAACAATTACACAGTAGAGTATTAAATTTTATCCATGTAGATAATTTAGCTATAAAACATTTTTCTGTTCCTCCTTCCCAACAATAACTATATTTTTGCCCCTGTGTATGGACATGTTTCATCACTAGGCCTAATGGAAGTTTTACTATTTTGAAACTTTCCTTCCTCCTTAAAATTCTCTCAAGTGGTCAGGCAAGAATGTTTTGGACGGGGGCGGGCAATGTATTTAAACAACCTAATAGAGCCAATTGGTAATGTTCATCAGCCAAAAGTGACACAAATTAAATGAATTTGGGGGGGCAGTCTTTTCTTTTTTGAAATTTCTTCCTGTTGGTGGATTTTAAGGGGATCATAAAATAATGTTTAAACATGCAAATTTACTTTAAACTAACAAATTTACTTTAATGGCCCTTCTACTTCTTTTGTTAATTTTCACTGGAGGATATTTTCCATTGATTTTTGGAGAGCGTGGAGGCAGGTGGGGAGGGGAGGGTGCGAGGAGAGAGAAACATTGATGTGAGAGAGCCACATAGATTGGCCTATGCTCTAACCAGCCAGGGCCAATAAGTTAATAAGCTACCTGGTTGTGCTTCTCATCTATTGGTTAGAGTGTCATCCCAATAACTCAATGTTGGAGGTTTGATGCCCTCAGGGCACATACAAGAAGAATAAACAGTGAATGCATAAATAAGTGGAACAAATAGATGTTTCTCTTTCTCAAATCAACTTAAAAAAATTAAATAAATTAATTTAAAAAACCTAATCATAGTAAGTGTTATGCTGTATTTCTTTTTCCACCCAGACCCTCAGGGCTAGTCATCAATGCATACTGAAATATAAGCAAAAATTAGAAAGTATTGCTTTTCAAAAACCAGACAAACTCCTTTTCAGCATTTCACATTGTTTATTAATGCAGTATACATTAGACCCGAACTCTGCAGTGTCTAAGACTATCATGTTTCATTGTTCAGATTCTTCTGCACTTTTAGGTTCTGTCTACAGAGGTGCCCTTAAGTGATGAACCACACCTTCTATAATTGTTGAAAATATACTACAGAGTGAAATGGTTTAAATATAATTCAGGCACATATTGATTATGAAAATAGATATCTCTCAATACAATAATTCTCTGTCTTGGTAAAAATAATAAAGCAAAGAAAATAATTCATTTCTGAAGTTGCTTTCCTTTACCTGTAAAGGCCTGATCTCCTCCCGCTATGCATATATCCTTCACTGTAAGGAAAGCTTTGCATGTGTATATATAAAAGAATAAGCTATGTAAATATTCAAGACATGACATCCTCCCAAAGGATACAAAGTGGGTTTTAATAATTCATTGCCTCAACTGATGAGTCTGGAGAATTCGGAATCCCTTTGGATACAGTGCTATTCCTGCTTTGGGGGCAGATGTAAGGACACCGTTTACTGCAGAGAGATGATGACTCAGGAAAATGAGGCTAAAATTATTAAAACAAAACCAAACCAGAAAATATAAGTTAAAGAACCACAGGTGCTGACTGACTGGTATTACATTTTGGACCAGCCAAATGTATTTATTTTTAGTAGTTAAGTTTTTTTGGTGGCTATAATTGAACAGTCAGTTTAAAATCCCTCATTCTCCACTGTAGGGTTTCAGCTACACTTCTATTGTGTAGCTCTCTAAAAGATGACTTTGCAATACCCATTCATATTTTACAGCGTTGATTACAGTGGCTTGAGACTTAGTATCTAGTTCTAAGCTGGCCCTGATTAAACTATTTGGCCATTGAATTAAATATTGGTAACACACCTTGGTTTTTTTGGTTTTGAAGTATCTTCCTATGCTTATTTTGACTGTACAGGAGGAAACTAGGCTGGTAGTGTAAATAAAAAATTGCCTGGTCTGCACTGAGTGGAACTTTCTTAGAATGAAATTATGAAGAGTGCTCCTTTAAAAGCTGTTGCTACAGGTTGTTGCTAGAGTTCCACTGTAACTTCAGCTGACAATGATGTACAATGATGTCTTTCCTTCAACTCTTGCCTCAACCAGTAAGACTAGAGGATTTCTTTAATTCAGCTACTATTTCGATCTAAAAAAATAACCATTATTAAAATGAACTTGAAAAGAGAGCCTTTGGGAGTCTGATCTCACCATATTCATGGTGTGACAAAGAAAGAGAGGCCCTAAAGCTTTTTATAACCCGATCGCCCTCTTGAAATTTTCATCTAAGTTTAACAATTTAAATATCCATAAGCATCCAGAGACTCAATAAATACAATTTCATATGTTGTGCTTCTCATAAATGAAAATCCTCAAATGCATTTCAAACCAAGATGGTAATTCCACATCATGCCTATTGAAAGCAAATACGATAGATACCATTCCTGGTTATAAAGCCAGGTGAACCCTGACTCTACTCTAAAGGCAGCAATCTAATCTACTTCCCTACAGCTGGTAGACGAGTGCTTCTCTGTGAAAACCGGACTGTGGGAAAAAGCCACTCTTCCCCTTGTGCACCACTGAGGACAAGCATAATCCTCTAAATGGTTCTGTCTTTTTCATTTCCTTACTGTGTTACTTCTTCTAGACAACCGAGTGGAGAAATAAAAGTGATAAGGAAAACATTTTCATCTTGAGCATGTTCCTCCAGCCCTGAATTCTCATCTGACGCTCTGTGACATGTGGAGCGGGGTCAGCATCTCCTCAAATATGGCTCCCTTCACGTTGGAGCCTCTCAGGTTGGCTTCCTGCAGGTCACACCCGGACAGGTCGCAGTTCTGAAGACAAAAACAATAACATGTAACTAATACGGAGATTTACAGTTTATCTGTTCCTTCTCAAAAACGATTCCTAGGCATGTTAGGAAAAGGTTGCTATATAATAAAACTTGGATATTTCTGAAAAATTTCGGTTTTACAAGTCAGATTTTTTATATTTCCATTTTCTTCTCTCTAGTTGATGCTCTGGCTGACTCCCTCCCCACCCTCCCAACACACACACACACACACACACACACACACACACACACACACAGATGTTAACAAGGAAACATGTCCCTTGTAATCATGTATTTTATAATCAGTCATTTAAAATTCAGAGTGGACTCAAATGTAGTAAATATTATCTAAATAATTTAACCACAATCCAAGAACGACAACAATGAAAGCAGTGGGGGGAGAATTGAGACACTATTTGAAAAACCTGAGAGAAACAGATTTTACTTAATAATTAAATTCCATTCCTCAACCCTAACATTTTTATAGCAACGAACCACCTTTTTTTAACCTCCAAATTATGTGCACAATTCAATTCGTGTTTTTTCTTTAAAATATATTTTTTATTGATTTTTTTATAGAGAGGAAGGGAGAGGGATAGAAAGTTAGAAACATCGATGGGAGAGAAACATCGACCAGCTGCCTCCTGTACACCCTTTACTGGGTGTGCAACCCAGGTACACGCCCTTGATCGGAATCGAACCTGAGACCTTTCAGTCCGCAAGGTCTCTCTATCCACTGAGCCAAACCGGTTTTGGCTCAATTCGTTTTAATGAACCTATATAACAGCATAACTACCACCATCATTGCAAACTGCTTTTAAATTTCTCTTGAGATTGTAGTGTGACAGATGAGACGAGATTCTGAGTAAGTCCCTGGGGATGGTGGGGACCATAGCTAGAGAAGGGTGACAGCACATAGCCTTTTAGGGCAGAATGTCAGCTGCTGCCCCCCAAGAGTCAACCTCATTAATCTTTACAATCACTCGGACAGAGGGAGGCTTTTGCTGTTTAACCATTGACTACGTGGCATCTAAAATCAAGGGAAAAAAGTCATCATCTTAGGTGATGGCAACAAATAATAACAAATTAAGTAATGGTGCTTAACTAATTTATATCTTCAGCTGTAGGCTGCCACTTTTGCCCTTAAGTTTGTTTTTAAAAAATATATTTCATTGATTTATGAGAGAGAAATATCGACCAGCTGCCTCTTGCACACCCCCTGCTGGGGACGTGCCTGCAACCAAGGTGCATGCCCTTGACTGGAATCAAACCTGGGATCCTTTGAGTCCACAGGCCGACACTCCATCCACTGAGCCAAACCAGCTTAGGGCTTGCCTTTAAGTTTAATAGGAACTGCTATTCTGCTGCTTTGAGCTATTAAGAGAACAGGGCAAAACATTTTTTAAAAAATGAACAGCAAATTTTGTTTTGTTCTCTACAATCCAGTCTATGCCATATTTTATTGTATAAGGCTGTGCTGTTTAATATGATAGCACTAGCCAAATGTGCCCCTTTACATTTAAATGCATTAAAATTAAATAAACTTAAAAATTCATTTCCCACCTACACTACCCACATTTGCAGTGCTCAAAAGCCATGTGGGCTGATGGCTACTGTGCTGAACAGACACGGAGCATGCCCAGCACTACAGGAAATGCTACTGGCCAGTGCCAAGGCAGGCCTATCCATAGCTACTGAGCCAGCTGGCAAAATTGGCAAATCAAGACAAAGCATAGAATACAGAGCTGATGAGAAAGCCGAATTAAAATTTCACCTTGAGAATTAAAAAGAATATGATGCCAATTTAGAATAGGCTTTCCTCAATCTGATTTTAAACCTGGATACCAGTTAAATTTCTCAAATAGTTCACGAAATAATCTGGCCCCATTAACTGTTTGAAATTGAAACTGAAGAAAAATGATAAATTAGTTCAATAAAGCATCTATCAAACTTATCTACATGAGAAAAACTCAAGGAAAAGTGAGAAATAAAATGAACTTAGAATGTCAAATGAATTTTCCCATCTGAAACTGGCATCTCTTGACTTAGGAAATGATCCTGCTCTGGAATTCAGGCTTAACAAGCACTTGAAAGGAAAACATCCCTCCAGCTGTTCTGGCATGTCATCCGGAAGTTCTTATGAGCCAGTTAATTTATAGACTGATTGATGTTAGAGAGAGAGAGGAAGGAGGAATGGAAGAGGGGGGAGAGAGAGAGGGAGGGAGAGAGAGAGAGAGAGATTGATTTGTTGTCCCACTTATTCATGCATTCATTGGTTGATTCTTGTATGTGCCCTGGAACTCAAACCTGCAATCTTGGTGTATCGGATACTCTAACCCCGTGGTCAGCAAACTGCGGCTTGGGAGCCACATGTGGCTTTTTGGCCAGTTGAGTGTGGCTCTTCCACAAAATATCACGGCCTGGGTGAGTCTATTTTGAAGAAGTGGCGTTAGAAGAAGCTTAAGTTTAAAAAATTTGACACTCAAAAGAAATTTCAATCGTTGTACTGTTGATATTTGGCTGTTGACTAATGAGTATGCTGACTACTGCTCTTACCAACTAAGGTATCCCACCAGGGCCATACAACTATTTTATGATTTCAATAAATTTTGTATGAAGTACTCAGTGATTTTAGATTAACAAAAACTTTTTCCCCCAATCCTCACCTGAGGATATTCTTACTGATTTTTAGAGAGAGAGAAAGGGGGAAACAGAAAGAGAAACATCAGCATGAGAGGAATATCGATGGTTGTCTCCCTTAAGCGTCTGATTAGGAATGGAACCAACAGCCTAGGAATGTGGCATGTACCAGAACTGGGAATAGAATCTGCAACCTTTTAGTGTATGGGAGGAAGCTCCAGGTAACTGAGCCATGTGGCCAATGCCAACAGAAACTTTAAGAACTGGTGACTCACCTCCAAATCAGTTCCTGCCAGAGTTGCTCCTCTGAGGTTACAATTCTTCAACTTTGCATTTTTTAAGGTGGCGACTCTCAGGTTGATGCCCGTCATTTGACTTCCTTCCATATCCACACCTTTTAGATTAGCACCTTGAGTGAACATATTTGGGGATTAGTTGAACTTGAAAATATGTATTGTCACCTACCTTCAACAAAACCACTTTAAGACTTAAATGGAGAAGAATGATGACAGGGCCCTCTAACTTTTGAAAAGGATTCTGAACCAAAAATCTCAGTGTCTCAATCTACTTTCATCTAGAGTTCACTGATAATGATGTGTTAGCTCAGACTTAAGAATGTTTTAGTCTATATTTTTGAGGGAGTAATTCAATTCGGTCTTAGGATAATTAGCACTTTTATAACATGCCTCCATAAGTTTGACAAGGGAGAAAAGTACTATACCTTCGAAATACACAAGTAAACAAAGTGACCAGTGTGCACAGATATTATACAAGAGAGCAATAAGAAATTCATAAAAAAAACATTACATTTAAAAATGACAAAAACTGTCTGGCTTTGTGCAAACTGAAATTCTTAATTTTGGTCAGCATAAGAATATGTGCTGTGTTTGGAAGTTTAAGATGTTGACATTTAATTCTCTGATTGAGGCCTCATTAAATGTCAGAGTCTGGATCTCTCCGAGTTCTCAATGTTGGTTAGCCTATGACTCAGACCAAGATATGACTGACTTTTGTGCAAATTCTCCAAGCATGGTGACAGAGGAAATCTACCCAGCTATGGTCATGATTTACCTGTAACTATTACTTTGCTGGGCTTTTTATTTAATGGTGTGTTTTCCCCATAGAAAAGGTAATTATAGACAGAATCTCACCTTCTAAATTGGCTTTAATACCAGAAGGATCTTCAAAATTACACTGTTTCAAGGATGCGCCTTCTGCATTAGAACAGAGCATCTTGACTCCCTGGAGATTTGCAAACTGGCAAAGAAAAGATTAAGATTCAGAATATTGTTTGGAAAAGAAAAAATTGGCTCAAACAGTTGTTAAACAAAAAATGTTTTGTTTTTGTTTTTTAATATATTTTATTGATTTTTTACAGAGAAGAAGGGAGAGAGATAGAGAGTTAGAAACATCTATGAGAGAGAATCATCGATCAGCTGCCTCCTGCACACCATTTACTGGGAATGTGCCGGCAACCAAGGTACATGCCCTTGACTGGAATCGAGCCTGGGACCCCTCAGTCCACAGGCCGATGCTCTATCCACTGAGCCAAACCTGTTTCGGCAACAAAAAATGTTTAACTTCCATGGCTGAAAAAGTCTATTTTATTATTATAATTTTTATAGATTTAGAGAGAGGAAGAGAGAGGAAAAAAAACCCAACCCAGACAAACACCAATGTGTAAATAAACAGGGGAGGCCTTGTGGTGCCTGGCTATTCTCTTTTGGAAAATCTCAGAAATAGCAGCTGGAAATTAATTCTAAATTCTAACAGATATACAGGAATGTAAACAGTCTTTCACCAGAGCTATTGATAGCTATCAACAGGCTAACTGCTCTCTTTCTCTCACTCTCCAGCTATTATGATTTTAATTTAGAAAGTTTCAGAATTTATATCTTGTCACCGTAAAAGAAAAAAAAAATAGAAAAATGGGAAGTAAAGCTCACTTCCATATACTAACAATTATTTTCTGCTCACAACAAAGACTTTTCTAATTGAAATTAATACAAACTTAGAACTGTGTTAAAAAATAATTAACAGTTTAGATGAAGTTGGGGAGTAAGAACTCTGATACATTTGTTTCTATTTTTATAAACAGCTCTGGGAATGACAAACGACAGTAGAAATGTGGATAAGGAAAGGATAAACTTGTTAGGGGTATGGATTTTTCTATTTCTTTATTACAGTAGCAATTAATCAATGGGTGGAAAAGAGGGACATCTGTAATACTCTCAACAATAAAGATTTTTAAAAATAAAAATAACCTTAAATGTAAATGGATTAAATGCTCTCATCAAAAGACATAGGACAGCTAAATGGATAAAAAAAACATTATATATAAATGTTGTCCAAAAGAGACCCACCTCAAAACAAAAGATTCACACAGACTGACAGTGAAGAGATGGACAAAAATATCCCATGCAGGTGGAAACAAACAAACAAAAAAACTGGGTTAACAATATTATATCTGACAAAATAGATTTCAAGACAAAGGTTATAAAAGAAACAAAGGTCACTACATAATACTAAAGAGACTGATCCATCAGGAGGACATAACACTGGTAAAAATAGATGCACCCAATATAGGAACACCTATTAGTAAATATAAAAAAACAACAATACCTGATGGTGTATTATGAGGAAGAGAATGAAGGTAATGCAGTCATAGTAGGGGAACCGAACAGCCCGCTGTCAACATTGAATACATCATCCAAACAAAAAATAAACAAGGAAATAGCGACCGGAAATGATATACTAGATCATGTAGGACATTTCATCCCAAAGCTGTAGAATATACATTCTTCTCAAGTGCTCATGGAACATTATCAAAGATAGATCACATATTAGGACACAAAATGAGTCTTAATAAATTCAAGAAGATTGAAATCACATCAAGCATTTTATCAGATCACAATGGTATGAAACTAGAAATCAACTACAATATAAACACTCAAAAATATTCAAACACATGGAGGCTAAATAGCATGTTATTAAACAAAGAATGGGTACCAATGAGATCAAGAAAGAAAGAAAGAAACAAACAAACAAAAAAACTTCCTAGAAACAAATGAAAATGAGCACATAACAACCCCAAATCTATGGGACGCAGTAAAAGCAGTCCTGAGAAGGATGTTCACAGCATTACAGGCCTACCTCAAGAAGCAAGAAAAATCTCAAACTATTTAATCCTCCACCTAAAATAACTAGAAAAAGAATAACCAAGCCTAGAGTAAATAGAAGAAAATAATCAAGATCAAAGCAGAAATAAATGACATAGAGACAAACAAACAAACAAACAGAAAGAATGAAAGATCAATGAAACCAAGAGCTAGTTTTTTGAAAAGATAAACAAGATTGATAAACCTGCCCTAGCCAGTTGGCTTAGTGCATAGAGTGCCAACCTGGGACCAAAGGGTCCTGGGTTTGATTAGTTGCAGGATACTCTCTGGCCTGGGCCCTGGTCAGGGTATGTGCAAGAGGCAACCAATGTATTTCTCTCACATCGATATTTCTCTTTGTCTTTTTCCTTTCTCTTCCACTCTCTCTAAGAAATCAATGGAAAAATATCTTTGGGTGAGGATTAAAAAAAGAAAAAGATTGATGAACCTTTAGCCAGACTCATGGAACGGAGAAGGAATAAAGAAGACAGAAAAAGGAGAAGTAACAACTGACATCACAGAAATACAAAGGATAGGAAGAAAATATCATGAACAACTATATGTGAACAAATTGGATAACCTGGATGAAATAGACAAATTCCCAGAAACATATAATCTTCCAAAACTCAATCAGGAAGAATCAAAAAACACTGTATAAGCTGGTAACAATTAATAAAATCGAAGTCGTAATTTAAAAAACTCCCAGCAAATAAAAGCCCTGAACCAGATGGCTTCACAGGCAAATTTTACCCAACATTCAAAGAAAAACCAACACCTACCCTTCTCAAGCTATTCTAAAAAATTCAAGCGAAGGGAAAACTTCCAAACTCTTCATGAGGCCAGCATTACTATAATTCCAAAGCCAGATAAAGACACTACAAAGAAAGAAAATTATAGGCCAATATCCCTGATAAGCAAAGATCCTCAACAAAATATTAGCAAATCAAATTCAGCAATACATTATAAAGATCACATACCATGACCAGGAGGGTTTTATTCTGGAATAAAAAGGTTGGTACAATATTCACAAATCAATAAATGTGATACATAACAAACAAAATGAATGATAAAAATCACATAATTATATTAATAAATGCAGAAAATGCATTAAATAAAATTCAGTACCCGTATATGACAAAAACTGTCAACAAGGTGGGAAGAGAGGGATCATACCTCAAAGTAAGAAAGGCCATCTATGACAAATCTACAGCTAAAATCAGACTCAATGGCAAAAAACTAAAAGCGCTTCCTTTAATATCAGGAACAATACAGGGAGGTCCCCTTTCACAACTCATGTTCAACATAGTACTGGAAATTTAGTCACAGTGATCAGACATGAGGAAAAATAAAAGGTATTCAAATTGGAAATGAGGAAATAAAGCTCCCCTTATTCGCAGATGACATGATATTGTACATAGAAAACCCTAAGGACTTCACACCAAAACACTACTAGATTTAACATATGAATTCGGCAATGTAGCAGATTACAAAATTAATACCCAGAAATCTATGGCATTTTTTTGTATACCAATAATGAGTTCTCTAAAAGAGAAACTACACAAAAAATCCTATTTACCATAGCAACAACAACAAAAAATTTAAGATACATAGGAATAAACTTAAACAAGGAGGTAAAAGACTTGAACTCAGAAAACTACAGGACATTAAAAAAAGAGATAGAGGAAGATATAAACAAGAGGGAGACTATACTGTGGTTCATGGGTTGGAAAATTAACATCATGCTTTTGAGTCTACTTCCAAAATTATAAAATTTGAGAAACATTTATTCAATGACTACTAAAAGCAAGTACTATATTAGGTGCTGTTAATTCAAAAGACATATATAGATATGCAGACAAACAAAGCTAGAAGTTAGTAAATTTCACTGTTGGTTCTACATGTATCATCTAATCTCAAATTAACACAGATATTTTTTCTATACATACATGCATATACATATGTGCACACACAAATCTACGTGTACCTAATACATGTAAACACATATATGTGAAGAGTAAGAGAGAGCCAAAGTTAGAAAACCAACCCATTTTACTTTCAAAACCTTCAGTTTTATCAGTGTTTAAGTAAATGCTTCAGTAAGAGAAAGATGTAATTTCTGCTCTTTGAGAATGCTCAATAGACTAACAATTTAATTTTCTCTTGTAACCAAAAATGATTCTTACGTCAAGCACTGATCCAGAGAGATCAGCTCGTTCAAGATTTGCACAGCAGAGATTGGCATGTGCAAGATTGCAGCGGCTTAAATTGGCCATCTTGAAGTTAATGTATCGAAGGTCCAAACGAGAAAGATCAGCACCACTAAAGTTTAAACCCTGAAATTAAAAACACAAATTGTCACCATATTTCACCTATTTGTTACATTAAATTTAATTATTCTACCTAACCACCAAGTTTTTTAGAAGCAATTGGTGGTTCAGTAATTTGGAATTTATTACAAAACACGATCAGATGGAACTTAGATGTACAAATTCAGTGTCCTGACTGGGTTCTAGTAAAAGAAACTATTTGCAATTAACATTAGAGTGCAGCCTGGCAATACCACATTTATGGGAAGAATTTTCTATAGAGAGATCTCTGTTAGACACATACCTGCTGACTACTATTGTTTTTTTTTTGTTTTTGTTTTTTTTTTAATATGGTAAGTGTAGAGCATTCATTTTATTTATTTTTTTAATTAATTGATTTATTTTTTTACATATTTTAATGATTTTTTTTTGCCCCCCTCCCTCCCTCCCACATATCCCCTCCCTCCCCAGAGTTTTATGTCCATTGGTTGTACTTATATGCATTTATAAAAGTCCTTCGGTTGATCTATTATCTCCCCCAGATCCTCCTCCCCTCCCCGCTGTAATTTGACAATCTGCTTGTTGCTTTACTGTCTCTATATCTATCTTTTGGTTCATCAGTTTATAATGATCTTCATTATCCACAAATGAGTGGGGTCATGTGGTGTTTCTCTTTCATTGATTGGCTTATTTCACTCAGCATGATGTTCTCCAATTCCATCCAGGTTGCTGCAAATGATGAGAATTCCTTCTTTTTTATGGCAGCATAGTATTCCATTGTGTAGATGTACCATTGTTTTTGGATCCAATCATCTGCTGACGGGCACCTAGGCTGTTTCCAAATTCTGGCTATTGTAGATTGTGCTGCTAAGAACATAGGGGTGCTTATATCCTTTCTGATTGGTGTTTCTAGTTTCTTGGGATATATTCCTAGAAGTGGGATTACTGGGTCAAATGGGAGTTCCATTTTCAGTTTTTTGAGGAAACTCCACACTGTTCTCCACAGTGGTTGCACCAGTCTGCATTCCCACCAGCAGTGCACGAGGGTTCCTTTTTCTCCGCAACCTACTATTGTTTTTTGTTAAACCTAATTATATTTACACTAGAGGCCTGGTGCACGGACTCATGCACTGGTGAGATCCCTCAACCTGGCCTGCTCTCTCTAGCAACCTGGGACCCTTTGGGGGATGTTGGACAGTTGGTTTCTGCCTGGCCTGCAGGGATCGGGCAAACCAGGCAGTCTGACATCCCCTAAGAGATGTAGTAGTGCGTGAAGCGGCAGGTGGCGGGGATAGCCTGAGCCTGGGCTGGGGCTGTACCACTCCCACTCATCCTGGCCCGCTGTTCCGGCTGCCCGTTTGGTAGTGCTGCCGTGGAGCGGGGAGAGGCTCACACCATTGCAGCAGTGCTTGCCAGCCATGAGCCCAGTGTCTGGTGCCTGTCAGTCAATTAAGCATTGCTCCCACTGTGGGAGCCCATCACCTCCAGAGGGTAGCTCCTGCGCTTAGCGTCAAAGGTCGCTTAGGGTTTTATATATGAGTAATTTTTTAATTAAACAATTCAAGATAGTTTCTTTTTAAAAAGCAAATATTGTGGTTTTTAAAAACTTTAATGCTATAAACATAAACATAAAAGTATCTGCCACTGCCAAAACCGGTTTGGCTCAGTGGATAGAGCGTCAGCTTGTGGACTGAAAGGTCCCAGGTTCGATTCTGGTCAAGGGCATGTACCTTGGTTGTGGGCACATCCCCAGTAGGGGGTGTGCAAGAGGCAGCTGATCGATGATTCTCTCATCAATGTTTCTAACTCTCTATCCCTCTCTCTTCCTCTGTATAAAAAATCAATAAAATATGTTTTTTTAAAAAGTATCTGCCACTGACTAGTCATGCACGACTGTACAAACAATTGATGTTTTATTTTAATTGCTGATTTCAGTGCACTACTCAAAGACTTCTATGTGAGATATAACTTGAATAATTGGACAATAAAAAAAGCTATTACATAGCTCTTTTTTTGCTAACCATTTTGGGATTACATCAGTGCTACGGCCCATAATTAGATTATATCTTGCATTAAAAAAGAAAATGAAGCAGAAATAAAAAAATCCTACAAGAACATAAAACATTACTCACAGATTTGCTGACATAACTCATTTAAATGTCTGTTTTAATTACCTGGCAACGCAATTCTGATTTGGTTGGAGTGGCTAGGAGAAATCGGACAAATTCCTTTCGAGATATTGGTGAATGATCCTCTGGTGGTTGAGAATTCTTGAAAAGAGATATTAAGAAATTAGTGGAGCATTTTGGGAGATAGCTACAACAAATGTAATATTGGCTAGTGTAGAAAGAAGCTTACCTTTATTGCCACTTCTAGGTGTTCAATCAGTGAGTCAATACCAAAAAATCTGGCTTCTTCCAACACCCCTATCATAATAAAAAGGATGTGACTGTTACAGAAAACTTCGTTTTAATATTTATATAATTCTTTATGTTAAATTATCACAAAAGAAGTGAAATTCAACAAGCAGATTATCAATCAATATTGAAGAAAAATAACTCTTGTTTAGAACATAATAGGATATTTTAAAATATTTGTAAAAAAAGTAGGTAGTTTACATTTATCAAAAGAAAAAATATGAAAAACAAATGAAATAGAATAAAAGTCTTCCATATTTCAAAATTATTTCTAAAAATTACTATAAAGAAGCCATAAGCCAAAAATCCTAACACCACATATTCCTCAAATAATTGATATAGTGGTTTGATTGTGAATCCAATAAAAAATAGTTTACCTAACCTTAACTTTTCACTGACCTTTCCAGTGGAACAGATCTAAATCAGTATGTCCCAAATATCTTAAGACTTACTGAATTAGGAAATTATAGAAATGAATAAAAGTAAATTTCAAAGCAGAAGTCAAAAGTATAATTTAGAAAACTTTTATGTGTGTGTGTGTGTGTGTATATATATATATATATATATATTTATATATTTTATTGATTTTTTTACAGAGATGAAGGGAGAGGGATAGAGAGTTACAAGCATCTATAATAGAGAAACATCAATCAGCTGCCTCCTGCACACTCCCTAGTGGGTATGTGCCTGCAACCAAGGTACATGCCCTTGACCGGAATTGAACCTGAGACCCTTCAGTCCACAGGCCAACACTCTATCCACTGAGCCAAATGGGTTGTGGTGAAACCTTTTTTTTTTTTTTTTTTTTTTTTAATAAAAGAATCAATTTAAAAAAAGACTTCTAAAAGATAAAAGGGATTTTAATCTATCATTTACTTTTCTTAGTTTGGTAAAGAAAATCTGTGGATTGTCCTGGTGACTTATTACATATACTTTCTCATCTGTCAATAAAACTTTTCATCAGAGTATCCTATATAATAAAAGCCTAATATGCTAAGTGTCTGGTTGTCCATTCAACCAATCAAAGTGTAATATGCTAATGATATGCTAAGGCTGCTCAACTGCTCACTATAATGTGCACTGACCACCAGCAGGCAGACACTTTAACCGGTAGGTTAGCTTGCTGCTGGGGTCCGGCCAATCAGGACTGAGCAAGATGGGTTGGACATGCCCTGGAGCCCTCCTGTAGCCCCTCCCTGGCTGGCCAACCTCCCTCGTCCCTCCCTGGCCCCGATGGTGCAAGGGTGGGGTCCCTCAGCCTGGCCAGCGTCCTCTCACAATACAGGCTGAGGGACCCCGCCTTGAGTGTACGAATTTCGTGCACCAGGCCTCTAGTCTATAATAATAAAAGTGTAATATGCAAATCAAATGGCAGTCCAGACGACCTTCCAGATGACCTTCTGGACAAAGCAGAGGTCGCTGCCACAGCTGCAAGGGATGGAGGCAGCTGTGATGGAGGGATTGAGGCAGCCACCGCAGCTGCAAAGGCCTACTCTGACACGAATTTCGTGTATCCAGTCTCTAGTGTAGAAATAAATCGAGGTCTATTTTCTTTAAAATGAATACTTCAATAGCCTGAGTTTACTTTTTTTTAAAAGGACTGAAGAATTACAAAGTTAGTAAGAGGTGTAATCTCTCCCTTCAAATGTTTCCAAGATAAGAGTAACTACAATTAGATAAAGAAAACTACAGCAGTTATCTGGGAAAAACATTACAATCTTTTTGGATAAACCCAATGCCACCTCCAATATTCCAGCTGCAAAACAAAGGCCATTTAAGGACTAGCACACCACTCAGGGAGCTGCTCTGGGACAACATCTTCTGTCCACCCCGGAGTGGCTTCCTCTCTGGATTCCTCAGGAAGGACAGTCATACTTCAGTATCTGTCCCTGGTAGAAACCCAGCAAAATGAGACTCTAAGGGCCTCACTCTCAGTTTGCCAAGTTTTTATGAGTAAATCAGAACCTCCCAGGGAGGGTGGTAAGAATGTTTGTCCAATTCTAGGCTCAAAACTAAACCTTAAAAACTTCCAGGAAAGCCTTATAAATACAACTGTCCCTGAGGGACAGTTTAGTAAAGAATGTGATATTTAGTGCATTTTCTGTTAGCACCAGTAAGATCTGGATTTGATCCCAGCTCGGATTTTGACTTGAAGAAGCTACACTCTTTCTCTTAACCAACGCCTCGACATTTATGAAATGTATTATTATCATGAAAACAAAGTTGTCAGAAATAATGTGTATTTGTTATCTGGTATAATACTTGGCACCTACGTGGCAGGTCCTCCATAAATCATTAATATTAAATTATATATTTTAAATTATTATTAAGTTACAGGTTTTATAATTTTTTTTCCTATATCAAACTAGGTTTCAGAAAATTCATGTTAGCTTCAGGGAAATAGGTATTGAAATACTAGAATAGTTCTCAAATTAGTGGACTAATTGAATCGAGGTGAGATTTAGCTAAAAAAGTATAGAAAAGATTATTTAAGTCAGGGAAAGAATGTTGGCAGATGCCCTTGTCCTTTTTCCAGCCCGCCCCCACACAGCTGTGGTTGCAGAGTCAAAGTGCATAGGCCTCCAAGTGACTGACTTTGGTAGGGCTTAAGGAGTGGTGGGGAATGTGGGGATCCGGAGTGTATCTGCCCAATTATTGCCCTGTGTGGGCCTAGGGTGCCAGAGACTTCTCCATCTTGACTGGAAGTTTCAATCAGTGTTATTTTTAACACTCAAAGGGGACTCAGACTTTCCACAAGACTATCTACTTGTGCCTATAACTATTTCTATGCCAATATATCAGCGATTTTCAACCCGTGTGCTGCCTCATACAGATGTCCCACAAGAGGCACACTGGTATGCTGCTAGAATTTTAAAACATGCACTGCCTGACTTCTTTTCTCTCAGACTGTCAAATAAAAAAAATAAAAAATGACATCAGCCAACACAACAATAGCCAACAGGTGTGAATAAATAAAAATTATACCTACTTTTTTTTAGATTGACAAAAAATATTTTATTTGGTGAGCTGCAGAATTTTAGTAGTTTATGTGTATCATGAGATGAAAAGGTTGAAAATCGCTGCTATATACACTCATATACAATACAACTGACCTTTGAACAATGGGGATTAAGGGTAAAAACTCCCACACACTCAAAAATATGCATATAATTTTTTAATCCCCCAATAGTTCAGTTGTTTTTGATATCTGTGGGAAACTGGTTTTAGGACTCCAACAAATACCCAAATCCATTGATGCTCAAGTCCCTTATAAAAAATGGTATAGAACGATACATCCAGTTGGCCCTCTGCATCTGGGTATTCTCAACTGTACATTGAAAATATTATTGATGCCCTGGCCAGTGTGCTCAATGGTTAGAGCATCGGCCAGCACACCAAACGGTGATGGGTTTGATTCCCAATCAAGGGCATGTACCTGGATTGTGGGTTCATTCCCCAGTCCATTTGAGGTGTGGACTAGAGGAAACCAACTGATGTTTCTCTCACATTGATGTTTTTCTCTCTCTTTCTTTTCTTCTCTCCCTTTCCACTCTCTCCCTCCAATTCTATCTAAAAGCAATTGGAAAAATATCCTCAGGTGAGGTTTAGAAAAAAAATGTTGATGTAAAACCTGCAGACAGGGAGGGTCAACTGTATGCTATTTATTAAAAAAAAAAATCCATGTGTAAGAGGACTGGGTGGTTCAAACGCGTGTTATTTAAGGGTCAACTGTACAAGTAAAACATTTAGATATATAATACCTTCAACTTTATGAAAATATACTTTTTTTTATATATATTTTATTGATTTTTCACAGAGTGGAAGAGAGAGGGATAGAGAGTTAGAAACATCGATGAGAGAGAATCATCGATCAGCTGCCTCTTGCACACCCCCTACTGGGGATGTGCCCACATCCAAGTTACATGTCCTTGACCGGAATCAAACCCAGGACCCTTTAGTCCCCAAGCCGACGCTCTATCCACTGAGCCAAAATGGTCTCGGCTGAAAATACACTAACTTACTAAGCAAGTGAAAACAATAAAGATTATAAACTTACAAAAGCATGAAGCATTATAATAAAAACTCACCCAGTAAATTAATGCCATCATTTACAATGAGTTGTCCATGACGCAAGTAGTTCAAAATAGGTTCAAAATACTCAGGACTTCGGTCAATTAAGAAAGCTCCTCTACGATCTTGCTTATTACCCCAGACACCTGTGTCACCATTAAAATGAAGTCCCCCATAATGAAAAAAAAGTTAGAAATTTGTGGAAGAAAAATTGTGGAACATAACAGTAAGTTTTTTTCTTGTGTAAAAATAATGCTATCATTAAAAAATAAAGGACAAAAGATATACAGTCAATACAAAGAGATCACACAAAATGGAAAAATCCTATGTTGCACTCACCTTTGTCCTTAAACATGTGGGCCAGCATACTGTCGGGTTCTTTGTTCACTAAAGTGCTCCTAAGAATTCAGGGAAAAAAATTGATTTCTCCATTTGTCTTTATAAACAAACATATTTAAGTCAAGAGTACACTCGATCCCAGCTGTTCTCTCAAAAAGATGCATGCTATCACCTGGTAGGAGCGATGCTGGGGAACAAAAACGTGCGGTAAGTTGCCATTTATCAAAATCTCTTCTACTCTGGCACTTCCTTTGCTTTAGTTCCCATTTTATAAAAAAACACACACGATTCTATCTGTCTTGCAAGCTATTATATCACAATATTCTTGACCTAAACTTATTTTTCCTATACCTTTAATATAAGCAGTTGTAGTCTCTATGAATTTTAATATTGTTAATTTTTACTTGCATTGCATAAGTATTACTGAATATCTAAAAAGCATGTTCCATAATACTAACTCATGCTTTCTCAGAAATGATCTCTGAATCATTTTTCTTTTCTTTTCTTTAAAATAAACTTTCTAAAAAATAGTTTGCAGTATATTTAAGCAGCATTTCAATATCTTCTAAAGAAATCAGTAAATTGAAGAACAAATGATACATAGGACCCCCGACACACAGCTACACACATGCACACGCACCTACCGTGTGGTTGTGAAGTACCGCCCTCCAACATTTAATGTAAGCCAGTCTGTGTGAGATCCTGACAACCCTTCAGGCAGTTTAGGATCTGTCTGAGGATCTAGAGAGAACAAGTAGAAAATAATAAATTTAATTGGTTTTTGGGGAGATGGCAATAGCATGATTTTTAAAACCAAAAACACACATAAAAGTGTACCAGAGTTACCAGGACAACAAAACCCATACTCATAGACAACATCTAAACCAAACTAGATGATAAGGTATTCCCATCAGCACGGACAGGAAGAGAGCAGCATGGCATTTGCATCCGTGCAGGAAGAAGCTGAGAGAAACAACAGAGTACCCGATGAACCTAAGAATCCAAAGGAATCCGCAAATATTCACTTCAAAGCTCAGCAAGTCCATTTGAGAAATACAGACTGAAACTGGGAGGGGTATGCCTACTTCTGCCATCAGTGATTTAAGTAGTTTGCAGAAAGATCTGAAGAGGCTGGAAATGAACTCTCAGAACCCACTGGCCAAAACTTCCTTTCAGGACAAAGTCTCAAACTGCAGATAAGATGTTGGGAAAAGAATCCAAGTAGAATGGAACAGAGATCAAAGGGGAAAACAAACTAACAAACAAACAAACAAAACCCAAAACGTATTACAGATAAAAGTGATAAAGGTTCTACATTCTAAAGAACCAGAACATATCAGAAGGTGAGTTTCATTTTTTTAAACACTTCACAAAAAAATACAGAAAAGGGAACTTTAGAGCCATGAAATGAGAAACAATTTCCTAAGTCAGCCCTCCCTTCACAAGTTAAAGAAAACCAACTTCACATAAAATTGAGCAACAAAAAAGGACTGAGATAAAAATGCCATATAAAATTTTTAAGAGAATAAGCAAGTGCCAGAAAGAAATGCCTACAAAATAGATTAAAAACTATAACCTAATATTCCAAAACATGCTAAAGAAGTGAATAGAAAATATAAAAGAATAACATAAACCAGAATAATAAAATTCAGAAATGAAGTAAGAGAACTCAGAAGATAATTGGAAATAAAAAAAAAAATTTGGAAAGGAAGATTAAACCAGAACAAACACAGGAGTCAATAAACACAAAAGACAATGTCTTATGGGAAATAAAAGATGCAAAAGAGAAAAGCTTTAGAAATAAATGAAAAGGATTTAATAGAAAATTTCAAATATATTAGGTAAAAGATCCAACGTACATACAATAGGATTCCTAGAAGATTAGGCAGGGAACAAAATAAATATGTAATATAAACTTCAAGAAAACTTTTATGAAATGAAAAAGATTTGAAATTACATATTAAAAGGGCTCACCATGTATCTGAAAGAAACAATTCAGAACAACCCAGAACATCCACAAAAAGTTTACTATAATCACTGTATTTTAAAGGAAGAGACTAAACATTCAAGTGACTTAGGAAAAATAATCACTTATGAAAGACCAGATATTTTTTGACACAAATATTTTAAGCCAGAATAAAGTGGAGTAACATATTTCAGATATTTAAAGTAAGAAAATATGTGGACCAAGTATTTTTAACTGCTTCACTGAGTCATAATTGATATACAATAAACTACACATTATTAAAATTTACAATTTAAGTTTTGACATATGATATTATATTCAGTCAAATTAACTTTAAACATTTTATTTATTTATTGACTTTTAGAGAGAAATAAAAAGGGGGAGAGAGAAACAAAAACATTAATTTGTTGTACCACTTATTTATGCATTCATTGGTTGATTCTTTTTTAAAAAAAATATATTTTGATTTTTTTACAGAGAGGAAGAGAGAGAGAGAGCTAGAAACGTCGATGAGAGAGAAACATCGACCAGCTGCCTCTTGCACCCCTTATCAGGGATGTGCCCGCAACCAACGCACATGCCCCTGACCGGAATTGAACCTGGGACCTTTCAGTCGGCAGACCGATGCTCTACCACTGAGCCAAACCGGTTTTGGCTATTGGTTGATTCTTGTATGCACCTGACAGGGGATTGAATCTGCAACCTTGGTGTATCAGGATGACACTATAACCAACTGAGTTACTGGCCAGGGCCCATCTGACTTGAAAGTGTAAAAACCAAAATACTTATTATCATGCAAGATGTCATAGAACATTGTTCTCACAACTTGTTTGTAAGGAATTTATTGGAGAACAAGTTTCAGACAATCTTTGGAGGTATGAACATAAGGAATGGAGGTAAAAATTAAATACACTTGAGGAGTAAAACTAAGAGATGGTTTGAAAGGAGAGCATATGGTATATAGTAGATATATATTTTGACAATGTAGAAAAAATACAATTATTTTTTAAGTTAGAGGAGAAAGGAATGAAGATATGCAAAAAATGTTTAACTGTCTTTAGCATTCATACTGGTAATGAAAGTATTGAGATTTTTACTGACACATTTGTGTTTTATGTGGGATGAAGTAAATGAGTAATTATGTGACATTATTATTCTATCATTTCCAATGTCCTTGAAAAATCAAGATTATTGATATGATAGAAAGGAGAAATAAGATAGAAGTTAAATAAAAATCTTATTTTCCTGATTATAAACTGTAAGTATTAGCAAGAATCCATGAGATAACCTCTCTATAAAGGTACTTTATATTACATATAAATTTTATCTCTGGCTAGCTATGTATTTCCAACTCTGTCTACCAAAAACCCTAGTAACAAAGGCAAACCCAATAACAATGAGCCTCCCTACCACCCAGACTGTGTCTTGAGATATTTCTCACTGAAAGAAATCAAGGCCCTAGCTGGTTTGGCTTGGTGGATAGAGTGCTGGCCTGTGGACTGAAGGGTCCCTGGTTTGATTCTGGTCAAGGGTGCATGCCAGGTTGTAGGCTCCATCCCCATTAAGGAGCATGCAAGAGGCAGTTGGTCAATGATTTCCTCTCATTGATGTTTCTATCTCTCTCCCCCTCTGCTCTGAAATCAATATAAATATCTATCTATCTATCTATCTATCTATCTGTCTGTCTGTCTGTCTGTCTGTCTGTCTATCTATCTATCTATCTATCTATATAAAAGGCTAATATGCAAAGTGCCTTCTTGGGAGTTCGATCACTCGCTATGATGTGCACTGACCACCAGGGTGTGGCACGGAACATGGCAGGTGACCAGTGGTGGGAGTAGGGCACTGAGGAAGTGAGGGAAGAAGGAAGCAGGTGAAGGGTGGGGAAAGGACCATGTGGTGGCAGTGCACAGGAGGCAAGGAAAGGAGGAGACAGGGAGGCAGGGAACTTGATTGGCCCTAATCGTGGGCCAATCTTAGGAACCCTACCTGTGCACAAATTTCAGGCACCAGGCCTCTAGTATTAAAAAGAAAAGAAAAGAAATCAAGGCTTCTTAGAAAAAATATTGATCAGGATCTAGGACAGGAGAAGTATAAGATGAACACCTTGTTATTCCAGATAGTAAGGAAGCTATAAAAAATTAATGAGGTTGCATTAAAAGATTTGAAGAGGTTTCCACTGGCCCAAAGTAGGATAATCCAGATATCAATTAATGCAGAGGATGAAATAACAATAAATACTAATTGATCACTTTTTTATTTTGTTTGTAAGCAATGAACCAATTATATGACCACTGCCTGCCAATCACTCTGTTAGGCTAATGGATAATAGAAGATAAAAAAAAAAAATTTTGCTGCCAAGTGGAGATGGAGAAGAGTATGCACTTACTTCTAAGTGGACAACTACCAGTGCGATGATCTTGAGATCTACCTCCGCTCACCAAGTACAGTTACTGTGATGGCTTAAAAAACATTCTTAAATTTTCAGAGTTTGATTGAGTGGAACTAAATATATCAACTACATGCTAAGAATATTTACTGTATTTAAGCCTAATACAACTGTAGACACTTTCTTCTGAATCAAAGGGCAGTGTGTATGTGTGCAAGTGTGTGTGTTTGACCCCGAATAATTTTGACTAATCTGATTTGACCACTATGAAGGATTGTCAAACATTACTTATGCAGCAATAAATGCTTAAAAATATGTAATATAATACTTATAGAAATTGTCAGAATATGAAAGAGAAAATTTCAAAACAATTATAATTTCTAAAATCAAAAGTACCGTATAATGTCATATTTAATGAATGTGTTCACATCCAGAACATGTTAAAGGCATGTAATAGATAAGGTACCTATACTAAATGTGATCATACAATTCAAATTAAACATTAACTTAACACACACACCCAATGCAGAATCAAAACAGGTATGAAGATTTGAATCCTACCACAAAATATTTTTTAGCATTAAGCCATGTAAAACATGTAATTTATTTTTTTTATTTTGGCAGACAAAATTGGCTTTTAAGGAAGTCACTTACCAATGAATGGCTCTCCTTCACACACAAACAAAACATCATCATCCCTGAGGGAAATAAAAATTTAAAAAGGTACCATCAAAATCTAGAAATCACATGAATTATCTGTTTAATACAGGAACTTCTCCTTAGAATTATGTAGAAGACAGGTTTGCAAAATGGACTACGTAAATTTCCAGTACTTTCTTTGCTAAACACCCACTACATATACACTTAACTATCCTTGATTTAAATTCAAGTAAGATTCAGCACATGAAAGTACTTTTGAAATGGAAAACAAGTCAACAAAACAATACCCGGTATACAGATGATTAAAATTAAGCTTTCTTATCTATTGAAGAATGTACTGTTATGTTCAAAGGATATGATTAAAGCCTAGCCAATTCTTTTTTTATTTTAATTCTGTAATCCTAAATAAATTACTGGGGTTTTCTCCCACATCATCAGCTGCTTTGTGCTTTGGAAAGGAAAATAAATTTATGTACTAAATTTAGGAAGAATATATGAAAGTAACTGCTTAAACACTCATCTAATATACTCAACCCCTCACCCCCCAATGTAAATGACTCACATAATCCGAAGTCCTGGATTATCAGTGACATCCTCCTCTCGGCCCCAACCCATCCCACCAGTACTACAAATAAGGTACCAGATTGTTCTGTGACCCACAAATTACTAAACAGGTATATATTTTATAGTTTGGAAGGCTTATGACCCTCTATGTTGGAGAAATTTTTATTTCCTATAAAACATCACAGGAACACACTGAATTTTTCTTATAATGAAGTCTTTTTAAGAAATCATTCAACAGTGTAACTCGTTTATGCATAAAAACGGAAAAAATCTGGAAGATAGATATTGAAAAAATAAGAAATTCTCCTATTTTATTTGGATTTTTAAATATGTATCTTTTAAACTTATAAACTTTTCTACGTGCTCACAATGCCAGTTAACTTTTTAGGACTAGTATGAAAATTTGTTTTCTTCTCTAACAAAAATCAGCTAGTAACTTTATGGCCTGGGTAGTTATTTTCTCAGATGTTTAGTTTTTTAATTTATAAAATGAAGGGACTAGAAGTTATTAACTTCAAAGGCAGAATATTATATTGAAGTATATCATTATGACCTACATTTAAATGAAAATTAAGCTTTGTATACTATTATAATGTAGAGCATATTCTTTTCACTCCATCAATTTTCTTTTAATCTTTACCTGAGGATATGAGGGTATGCTTATTGACTTTAGAGAAGGGAGGGGGAGGAAGGGAAGGAGGGAGGGAGGAAGAGAGAGAGAGAAAGAAAGAGAGGGGGGTGGAGAGAGGGAGAGAGAGAAACATCAATGTGACAGAGAACATCAATTGGGTGCCTTCTATATGTGCCCCAGTTGGGGATTAAACCCAAAACCTAGGTATATGCCCAGACCAGGAATTGAACCCACAACCTTTTAGTGTATGGGACAATGCTCCACACTGGCTGGGGCTCACTCCATCAATATTTTTTTTTTTAATTCCATGCTTTGCCAGTGAAATGAGATAATGTGGGCAAAGCAAATACTAACTGGCACATTGTCAGTAATTTGTGTTCCCTTTCCATATTTGTTAAGCCTCAAAATTCTATGATCCCATAAGGATTCCATAAGGATGAGATGAGGTAAACTAGATATTTTTTAAAGAGGTAATTCTGCCTGGGATATTTCAAAGTGTAATATGCTAATGATATGCTAAGGCCACTCAACTGCTCGCTATGACGTGCATTGACCATGAGGGGGCAGACAGTCGACCAGCTGACTGGAAGCTATGACGTGCACAGACCACCAAGGGGCAAACGCTCCAACGGGTAGGTTAGCTTGCTGCTGGGGTCTGGCCAATCGGGACTGAGCAAGACGGGCTAGACACACCCTGGAGCCCTTCCATGGTATCTCCCCAGCTGGCCAACCTCCTGCACCCCTCTCCCGGCCCCTATTGTGCACTGCTGGGGTCCCTCGGCCTGACCTGCACCCTCTCACAATCCGGGACCCCTCAGGGGATGTTGGGAGAGCTGGTAAAGGCCCATTCTAGCAGGCCAGGGGACTCTACTGTGCACAAATTCGTACATGGGGTCTCTAGTTTATAAATGTTTGTGATATTTATAAAATTCAAAGCATTCTTAGGAAACCAAATGAACAATAAGCAGAGGCACATAAAATTAAAGAGATCAATTAGATTTCTTTTTACTTTAATATATATATTTTTTATTGATTACAGAGAGGGAGAGGAAGAGATAGAAATAGAAACATCAATGATGAAAATAATTGTTTGACTGCCTCCTGCATGCCCCCTACTGGGGATGAAGCTTGCAACCCAGGCATGTGGCCTTGACCAGAAGGAACCCTGGGCCTTTCAGAAGACAGGCTGATGCTCTTTCCACTGAGCCAAACCAGCTAGGGCAGATTTCTAACATTAAAAAATGCATGTCTTGCCAAAACCGGTTTGGCTCAGTGGATAGAGCGTTGGCCTGCGGACTGAAAGGTCCCAGGTTTGATTCCAGTCAAGGGCATGTACATTGGTTTCGGGCACATCCCAGGTAGGGGTTGTGCAGGAGGCAGCTGGTCGATGTTTTTCTCTCATCGAAGTTTCTAGCTCTCTATCCCTCTCCCTTCCTCTCTGTGGAAAATCAATAAAATATATATATATATATATATATATACACACACACACACACACACACACACACACACACACACACACATATATATATATACACATATATTTTAAAAATGCATCTTATTGGATTAATTTCTAGTGCCATAAAGAAATTCCTCATAACCATATATGAATTATGCAGAGCGACTATTAATATATTGGAATGTACTGAGGATTTTCTATCTGATCAATATACCCTAAGCTCAAATGATTTAACTTCAAAAGAGCAAATAGTAGACAATTACTTGCCAAAATCCTAAACTCTTTAACAGTGATTAAACCATTGCGTCAGGCAACTAGCATAGCACCGAGAAGCGAAGAGCTCAGAGTAGAAAGTTTATAAAAAGCCAAACTTACCTGATCAAAGCAATATCATCAATCAGTCCGCCTTTCCCATTATACACACTAGTGGCTTTTATGCCAAGTTTACTGCTGGCCAGAGATAGTAAGTCAGATAAAGTTCCATATACAGCGACCACCTGTAATTTGAACAATTTGCATAATGAATTTCATCACTCATAATCATAAATTACCACACCATAAACTGGATTAAAATGAGATTATCATATAAAAGGAGATTTTGAGAGGTTTTTGAATGTTCCTTTTTTTTTCTATGACAAATATTTGCTGAGTGCTTAATATGCTGAAATCTAAAACTAGAGAATCAGAAATTGTCTGACTAGAAGCAAACTGCAATCTTAAAGTATGTTAAATAGTGCTCCAGTTATGCTGCCTGTTGACTTGAGACAATTTAAGCTCTTTATGCTTCTGTTGCTTTACCTGGAAATGAAAAAAATGTCACACCTACATCAGAAGGTTGTCATGAGAATGAAATGAAATAATGCAGTAAAGAGCTTAGCAAAGTGCCTGAGACCTATTAAACCTTTATGTTTTTACATTATTCTTTTGCTATAGGAATTGTTTATTAAAAAAAATAGAGGCCCAAAGCACAACATTCATGCAAGGGTTCGGCTGCCATCTCGGCCCCCACAGCCTTGGCTTTGTTGGGAAAGTCATCGGGAATGCCATTTGGAAAGTCGTTCGGCTGTCCAGGTAATTCGCATATTACCCTTTTATTATTATAGACAGGAATGATTTACTGCTGTTTATTATAACATGTATTAGATCAACTACCATAAAAAAGTAACAACTTCCCACCTCATTTAATTCCTCAATAACTACTTATTTTATAAAAGCCAGACTTTAGCGAACATTCTAAACACAGGAAGCAGCTGGGTTTGATCTGCCCAGCGGAACTGATCTGTCCTGCCTTCAATCAGGTAGCCTGAGGTATGTGTGAGGTATATGCAATTGCTTAGGTAGGGGGTTGAAAATCTCTACATGAAGTGAATTTCTTGCTCCAGTCCTGATTGTAACTATGGGTTCCCAGCAGCTGAATTGTACAGCTGTACTTATCAGTTAGGATTTCTGAATGTTATGAATAAAAAGTAGGTGAGGAGCTGAATATGAAGCATTATAGCCAATTGACTTCCCACAGGATATTGGATAAATGTGCCATATGAAATGAGGTCCTTTGCTCGCCAGTGAATGGAGTATAGAAGACACTGACTTTTAGTTAAATAAATTAATAGCTGTATATGAAGGGAGTTGTTTGCTAATCTAGCAGCATGCAATCTTTCAATAGCAGAGTACTCAGTTTCCAACTATTTCCTCTTGTATCATAAGAAAAACAAACAAACAGATAATTGTTCCAAGCTGGGGCATTTGGGAGGAGGGTTGTAGGCAAGCACAATTTAAAGGGGACTAAGTGAATTATTAAAATAATGCACAACCCAAGTGTCCATAAACAGATAAATGGATAAATAGCATGTGGTATATACATAAAGTGGGATATTATTCAGCCATAAAAATAATAATACTACAACATGAGTGAATCTGGAAAACATGCTAAGTGTAATAAACCAGACAATAAAAGGACAAACATTGTATGATTCCACTTATATGAGGTAATTAGAACAGGCAAATTCATTGAGACCAAGTAGAATAAAGCTTATCAGGGCAGAGTGGGAAATGGAGAGTCACTGCTTAATCAATACAGAGTTTCTGTTTGGGATGATGAAAAAGATTTGGAAATATAGAGTGGTGAGGTTATATATATTGTGAATGTACATAATACTAAGGAATTGTACACTTAAAAATGGCTAAAATGTTAACGTTCATATTCTATTTTTCCACAATAAAAAATAATAATCCAAAGCACTTGCACAAAGCAGACACCACCATAAAAGAAAACTTGAATAAAACGTGTCCCTCACATTTCCTATCACTTTTCACATCACTTTTCACATCTGAGGTATGTGTGAGGTAAATGTGTTTTATACATAGCAGGACTTTTTCAGTTTAATGTAAGTTTTAAATTTGCCTTTAAATACCATTTTCAAATTATACCCTATCTTAGTAAAATTCAAAAGTTAAAATCTGCACATGTAGCCAAAACCGGTTTGGCTCAGTGGATAGAGCATTGGCCTGTGGACTGAAAGGTCCCAGGTTCGATTCCGGTCAGGGGCATGTGTGTTGGTTGCTCAATGTTTCTCTCTCATCGATGTTTTTAACTATCTCTCTCTCTTCCTCTCTGTAAAAAAATCAAGGTATTAAAAAACAAAACAAAAACCTGCATATGTATTTAAAAGATTTTTTATATTCCTGACAGTATCTATTACATAATACACAATTGATAAATACTTGTTTAATTTATGCAGGCCAATTTAAATTAATGCAATAATTAATTACAATTACTAACTTAATGTAGAACTCAACTTATTCTACTTACATTTTCAGTTGAATACATCTAAAATTTTAAAATGATTTTATTAAAAAAAAATGACATTTAACTCTAGACCAAAAAGGCAAAGGAAAAATTAAAAAATTAAAAAGTCTGAAAACACCAAGTGTTGAAGAGAATGTAGGTCATAAATTAATGCAATGGCATTGAAAAAACAATTTGGCACTATTTTGTAAAATTAAAACACTCAGACATCCTAACACTCAATAATTACAACTTAAATATATAGAAACCGTAGTTCTCAAATGTGTAGTCCCTACACAGGCAGCTGGAACTATGGGAATATGTTAGAAACTCAAATCCTAGGCTCACCCCAGACCTGCTAACACTAAAACTTCGGGGGTGGGGTCCAGCAATGTGTTTTCTCAATTCCTACAGGTAATTCCAATGCATGCTAAAGTCTGTGAACCATGGCCCTAAAAAAATGATTGCATGTGTATCAAGATGCATACATATTTATATGCATATGTACAAACATACACATAAACCTGGATATATGTGTGTATATATATATATCTCCATGGAGCACTGTTAATTTAATAGCAAACTATAAAGAAAATAAACAATTCAAATGTCCATTGATAGGATAATGGATAAACTGTGGTAGTATATTTACATATTTATATTCATATAAAAAAGTAGAGCCTAAACGGTTTGGCTCAGTGGCTAGAGCGTCAGTCTGTGGAATGAAAGGTCCCAGGTTCGATTCCGTCAAGGGCATGTGCCTTGGTTGTGGGGGTTGTGCAGGAGGCAGGGGGTTGTGCAGGAGGCAGCTGGTCGATGTTTCTCTCTCATGGATGTTTCTGGCTCTCTGTCCCTCTCTCTTCCTCTCTGTAAAAAAAAAAAAATATATATATATATAAAAAAAAAAATATATATATGTAAAAATGAATAATGTACTACTATGTGGAACACTATGGATGGAATCTTAGATACACTATATTAATAGCCAACTCCTAAAAGACTACATGCAATGAGATACCAAATTAGGATATATTTCACAAAAGTGACAAACAAAAAATATATAGTATAGTTATACATACATAAGTGACAAGACTACTATTAAAAAAGCATGCCAAAAAGGAATACAAATTATGAAAATGGAATAGGCAGGGAGAAAGGAAAGTGGATGAATACATTAAGTTATTGGTAATAAAGTATTTCTTGGATTGTGTGGCAAGCTTACTGAAATTTGTTATTCTTTAATATTTTCTTTTATATGTATCAAATATATATATTTTTAAAATATATTTTTTTGATTTTTACAGAGAGGAAGGGAGAGGGATAGAGATTTTAGAAACATTGATGAGAGAGAAACATGGATCAGCTGCCTCCTACACACCCCCTACTGGGGATGTGCCCGCAACCAAGGTACATGCCCTTGACCAGAATCAAACCTGGGACCTTTCAGTCTGCAGGCCGACGCTCTATCCACTGAGCCAAACCGGTCTCGGCTGTATCAAATATATTTTAAAACCGTTTAGCATGAAGAGCAAGCCCTCACAAGGTTCTTATTAATAATTAATATTTAGATTTCAATAAGCAAAAGTTCACATAGATTTTCAACTGTCTTCAACTCTAACAATATAATGGGCTCAAATCTGGATATATATAATATCAACATATTTCTGACCTAATAGCAAAGCCAGAAGAAAACAGTTTCTTCCTGGACCAAGACTATAAACATCAGTAGAGAATTAAGATCTATTTCACATCCCACTAAGCCTGCAGCCTGGCAAGGTGCCTCCATACAAAGACAGCACTCTATTAGTGTTGGCTGAATGAATAAGGTACCCAAGAGACCTATGCTTTGCACAACTTATGTTCAAGAGATACAAAAACTCTGAACTGACATCAGGTTGCTCAGAAGCCACTTGCTATACTCAGATATCCCGAGTCCTCATTTCAATTTTAACGCCAGCTATTAGATGGAATAATAAAAAGAGAACAATGGGAATTCTGAGCATATGGAGAAAGGATGAAAGGCAATTTTAAAAAAATTCAAACTCAAAGAATATGATTTTCTAAACAACATGAGGACTTTTATTGACTGCAGTAAATATGTCCTAAATGTTTATCCATAAATTTAGTGAAATTTTGCCAAATACCAAATTGACTTTAAATATGAAAAAAAAAAGAAGTTAAAGAAAAAAATTCTGAAATGATTTATTTTCATGTGCTGGAAAATCTTTTTAAATGTCTTGCCAATTGGGATGATCTCATTCTATCACTGGCTAATATTTCGAAGAAAAATAGTACAAATTAAGGAAGCACTTATTGTCAATAGCAGTTATTACATAAGAGTTCACACAGACTTCTTTAAACTCTGGCACTTCCCGACTTCTCAGATCCAAAGGGATCCACCATTAAAAAAAATCTCATAGTTTATATTAGGAGAAGGGGCAGCGGTGCCGTTTTCATTATTTGTTCTTGCAGGATTATAGTGTCTTCAACCCACCCACCAATTCTTTGAAGAAATCTTTCAATGTCACTTGGCATTGTGGTGAGGGTTAATTTAGTGGAAAAAAAAAAAGGATAGTAAGACTCTTAACCTGGTACTTGGTAGCTTCCAGACATCACAACCTGCCAAAGTGAACCAAGCCGTGAAGAAGCTGCCCACTGAACACACTCCCTGCTCTCAGACCTGGAACCAGCAGACACATTGGGTGGCGGAAAGCATCCGTGTCTTTCCAGAATGGAACAAAAAGAAGTTGTAACATTATTTTATGTTTTTAAGAAAAAACCATAAATCTTAAACTGCACTGGATCCTCTTGTGCAGCATCTCACTGCGGAAAGCACAGTTTGAAAGAATACACAGTCCTCCCTTCCACATTGAAACATTCACTAGTTACACGTTGTTTATTCACTAACTAGAGGTCCCATACACGAAATTTGTGCAAGGGGCTCAGCCCCCACAGCCACAGCTTCCTTCTGAAGGATGTCCGGAAGGTCACTTGGCTGTCCTGTCTAATTAGCATATTATGCTATAATAATTATAGATTACATAGAAGCGTCATGATGACCATATTTTGTCCCCTGATGTGACTCTATACCTTCCTACCCCAGCTTCATAGCCTTGTCTGGTAACCGATAAATAAGCTTTAGAGGACAATAACTTATTTGAAAGAAAACAAAACAAAAACTGACATTCTGATGAGCAGGAAACAAATACACAAGCTACAAATAAGAAGATAATGGAAGTGACACAGATGTTCCAACTGTTGGATGGGAAAATCAAACTCTGTTTTGTAGTAATTCCCCCCCCCCCCCCCCCCCCCCCCCCCCCCCAGCCTGTTCTTCATGAACATCATGTCATTATTATACCATCCTGGCTAAATACAGTCACTTTATATATGTAAAAATGCAGTCTGTTATGTATTATTCTGCTCTCTTTTGTCAAGTAAAATAATTCTAATACATTTATTTTTAATCAGCCGAAGGGAGAGGGGAGGAAACACTGACAACTCTGGCACAGAATGTTTCCCAGTTGAGTAGTAAGGATTATGGCATGACATTTTTAATATTGACTCATACTAGTATTTTTCAATTTGGGTTTTTATGATTTTTAATAAAAACACTGACCTTTAGTTATTTGAGATGTGTTTTTCCAATCTCCTGGGATTCTCTAGCTAAATATTTTTAAAGCAAATAAAATTTAAATCCCAAAATCTAACGGAGTCAAATCTGGACAGCTTAAAAAATGTATTAAAGATAATCTGGCAAAACTAACACAGGAGAAATTTACTGTATAAATACTGTGCCTGGTCTAAACATCTTGTCTTTCATGGAATAACAGCAGAGAGATTGGATGAAAAGGTGCAGCAGAGGCCGTTCTGAAGACATATTACAATTGTAACTTTGGAAATACTAAAGCTTTCTTCCAATAACAACCTAAATTTTAGATTGTGAATGTAGTTAACAACAGATAAATGTAAATCTTGTTGTTAATGTAAATCTTGCGAAGTAATAATATAAATGTAAATCTTGCGAAGTAATAATGTAAATGTAAATCTTGGGAAGCATCCTTTAAGGCAGCATTTATGAACATTCAAACACTTGAATTTACGCCAGTTCTATTTTATATGGGTATTAACTCTCTAAGACCAGAACACAAAATCGTAGTCAACAAACTACAATGTGGTTCACACTTTTAGAGCATGTTTAAAACCGCAGAGCAAGTTGGAAAAATCATTTCTTATACCATGGCGCCATTACACTATTCAGAAATGGACCATGTTATGTTTCCAAATCATGCAGGAGACACAGCATTCTGGCAGGTAAACACAGCGAGGCCAGTGTGCTTTTACCTTGTTGAGACTCTCAGGCTCAGTTAGTCTGAATGTCACTTGGCCGCACCACAAAGTCAGCCTGGAACAGTCACATTTTCCAAAGCAGGCGGACAACTTTTCATGGGGTGGGGTGAGAGCTGAGAAGGAAAGGGATTCCTTTTGGATTGCTCCAGCGGGTGGAAAAATATTTAGCACCACGCCCTCAACAGAGGCCTAGCACGGAGAGGAGACCTGTCAAACCAATCCCTTCTGGCCTAGGGTCCCAGGCCCCTAAGTGAAATATAAGGCGAGATAAAGAGAGCACAAGTTTGGCGGCGGCGGCGGCGGGACTTGGGGGGCACTGGGGAGAGAAGGCACCGCCAGGAAAAGATCCCTAACTTCCGATCCCCTATTAGACCTAGGATTCAGGAGCATTTCATTTATTCACTGATAGAGCTTTATGACTATTACTATTATTATCATTATCATTATTATTTATGCACGATCAAGCCTGCATGCCTGCACTCTCCGGAGCAGACCATAGCCAGCATCCAGGTGGGAAGGCGCGCTTCCCCGGGCCGGGGTGCGGGCAGCGGGGTCTTCCGGGAGGCGGCGGGCAGAGAGGAGCACCCGCACCCAGCGCCGGGGTGACCGCGGCCCTCCCGGCCCCGCACCCGGACGCCGGGACCGTGAAGCGCCCGCTGACCTGCGTCAGTCCCCGGGCGGCTGAGGAGGGAGCCCAAGGGCAGGCTCCGGGGAGGAACCTGGGGGCTGGGAGGAGGCTGCGGGGACCCCATCCTCACCTCCCAGACACCCGCCATCCCGCTCACGCCCACCGCCCAGCCCCTCTCCCCAACTTCAGCCCGGCGCCCCGCGAGCCCGCTCCGCACTCCGCGGGCCCGGCCCCCCGCAGCCCGGCCCGGCCCGGCCCGCCGCCTCCGGCCCCCTCACCTTTCCGTTCCGGGGGCTGCCGTTCAGGAACAGGGTCACCCGCCGCATCGCGCCGACCCCGCCGGGTCCCGAGTGAGTCGCCACCCTCCCGCCTGGCTCCGGTCCCACCTTTCTCTCCTCCCGCCCTTCCCCTCCCTCCACCCACTCGGACGCTCCCCCCTTCGCCACCTTCCTTCTCATAGACACCCGCACACAGACGCGCACTCTCCGTCCCACACCCCCGGGCTGGCCGGTCCTCCTGCCCGCCCCGCCTCTGGGCGCTTCAGCCAGCCTGGGGCCCTTCCCCCAACTCCCTCCCCCCCACCCCAGAGTGACTCTAAGCTCGACCAATCAGCCAGCAACGCCGGTCAGAACTCCGCCAATCACCACCCTGTAACTGGGTGGGCTCATTCTGACTCCGCCCACCCGGTGGAGGGAAGAGCGCGCGGCTGCGGTCTGGCAGGGTAGGGTTCCCAGCCAATCAGAGCAGACCTCAGAGCCGAACTCCGGCTCGAAGCGCTACGGAGCAGGCGCCAACCCAACACCGGGTAGATCTCATCTGCATACGGAGGCGGGGCTTGAGGGAACTGGAGCTCTAAAAGTGACTGACAGGAATCAGCGCCCGCGGCTGTTTGTGACCCCTCCTAGGCGCCACCGTCGGAGAAAGCTCGCTGATTGGGTTAGAACCGGCTCCATCGTTCTGTCGCGATTGGTCCAATGATTCTTTTCGAAGTTTGCAGCATCCAATGGAGAGATAGGAGGGGCGGGCCCAAGGTCTAACCGTAAAGGTTCCTCCGCGAGACCCTCGCGGTAAGTAGTCCCCACGGACGCGGGTTAACAGGTGTCCCCTCGGCCCCGTGAGTCCCCCGCAGCCAGCGGTCGCTTCTCTCCGAAATCACGAAGCCACTCGAGTTCCCGGGTCGGGGAAGGAGGGGCCTGGGAGGTTTCGGGGTGCGCGCGGACTGGTGGGGGCGGCGGCGGCGGCGCAGAGGTTCCCAGAGTAACGTCGCTGTGCGAGGGGGCGGGGCGGGCGATTTGAATCGGGCGGCGGGCGGCGGCCGCGCGTGGCTGCTGCGCGGGGTCAGCGGGCGGCGGGTCGGAGTGGTTGGCGGCCCGGGACGGGGCAGTCCTCCGCCCAGGCTGCTGGCTCTCGAGCGGAAGAGCCGAGGTTTAGAAGGCAAGGCCGCCCCGATACTCCCGTGCAGCGGCGTCCAAACTAAATCCCGGGCGAGAGGAGCGCCTGCCGCGGCGTCAGGTAGGGCTGGGCTTTCAGGTGTCCTGCGCGGCGGCAGTGCTGGTTCTCAGAAGTGCCTTCTGCTCCTCCTGCTGCAGCCCGTGTGCTTTTCAGCTTTCTGGGGCCCGGCCCGACCTCCTGAGCTAGGGTTTCCGGGATCCCACCGAGCTAGCTAGGCCTTCAGTGGGGTACCCAGATGACTCAGATGTTCGCTAAGATTGAGAAGCTACATGGCTCATAGCAGCGATTGTCAACCCTTTATTCATCTCATGGCACACACAAAATTCTGTTGCATACAAATATATATATATTGATATACATATATATATTTGCCAATCTGACAAAAAAAAAAATAGGTGTGATTTGGATTCATTTTACACCCGACGACTATTGTGTTGGCTGTTGTCATTTTTTTTTTTTTAATTTGACAATCTAAGCGTAAAAGAGGTCAGGGCCCCCGACTACACTGTCAGGTAGTGCATGTTTTTAAAAATTCTTGCAGCACACTGGCTTATAGTATGGTTTGTTTTTTTTGTTTTGTTGTGTGTGTGTGTGTGTGTGTGTGTGTGTGTGTTTTAATATCAAACAACAGTTTCCTCTCTTTCCCTCTAATTTGAATTCCAAAAGTACTCCACATCTAATTTCATGCCAGTATAGATTGTATTAGAGTTCAGTCTCGAATGAGAATCTTCATTTAAATCACATTAATCTGGGGAATGGGGTTCTTTTTTCTCTTCTCTCTCTTTTTTTTTTTTTTTTTTTTAGATGGACACCAATTTAAAAGACAGCGAGCCCTTTGAAACCATGGAGCCTGCTATTAATGCTGGTATGTAGTGATCCGTGGCCTCCTTGTGAAAATTAAAAATTTAGGTATTTGTCTTGGTAATGATGCTTCATTAGCCCCCTCAATGCTTTGTCTGTTTCAGAAAATGCCTCTTTCCCTTTGGAAAATGGGGGTCTTGTAACATCCCAGAAGCCTGTGGCTGAAGTGATTGCTAATCCTGGCACACCAGATAGTTTTAAATCACCTTTGGACTTTTCCACAGTAACTGTACAGCAATTGGGAATTACGTCGGAAAGCTTTGTAAAGAACTCTGCAGGTAAGAGAAGTATTTCAGTGCTTTTAAAGTTTAAAAACAATTGTAATATAACTCAGTTTATTCCTTATCCTGTGTACCTTTCTGCTTTTCGTATCTAAATTGATTGACTTTGAAAACTTGTTTGGTCAGAGAGACTTCTGTGGACATGCATCGTTCATCCAGCATAGCAGGAGGCCAGGGTCTGGGCCCCCAGCGTGATTATGTTCCTAAGTCAGGGTTGCCTTCGTGCCCAAACTGGAAAAGATTGTGTGTGTAAACCACGTTTTGACCCAACACATGCGACAGAGGAGTATGTATAAGTAGTAAGACATTTTATGGTCACATGACAAAAATAAGAGAAATTTGAAGAGCAAATAAGAAAATATTACATTGAATGATTGAAGTTTGCTTCTTTGGAAATCAAAAACAGAGAATTGGCTCAAACAAATCATGAAGAAGCAGAAGGAAAATTCCACTGTGAAGTCTGACTTAGATGAAGGAGAAATATGGGAGAGGGATTAGAATTGAGAAGAACATTTAGAAATGGAAGGTAATGGGGGAGATGAAAGTCAAAGGGCACTAGATTAATACCTGATTTGAGACAAGACTAAAGTGGCACGCCATTCTAAGAACATCACTCTTAGACGTGTAAAAATCTACATTTATTTCCTGTGCTTAGGCATGTAGCCAGAATTCAGGGTAATGTGCCAAAACTAGATAGATAGCCGAGAGAAACACCTTACCTTGAAGATTTGAGAGCAGGAAAGTGCATGTGCCTCGGTGGACATCTCTCCTTTCAGTCCTTGGGGATTAGACTGTAATTCAGAAAAAGAGAAAGTTTTGGTCCAAAGCAAGTCATTATCTGTGTGCTAAAATATGAAACAAAAGTGAGATCTATTAATTATAAATTCATACATTCATTCCACACAACTCTGTGTGTATGTGTGTGTGTGTGTGTGTGTGTGTGTGTGTGTAACCTGTATAATAAAGGAATATGCTAATTATCTGTTATGCTGTGAAGTGTAACGACCAGATCATGGGTCAGAAGGAGGGTGGGGGGGAGAAGCAAACTACCAGTGGGCAGCGGAGAGCCACTGAAGGGTGCAGGGCAGCAAGCTATGGGCTGGGGGGAGCCCCAGGAGGGTGGGGCAGTGGGCGGAGAGCTACAGGAAGGCGGCAGTGAGCTACTGGCTACAGGCTGGCTGCAGAGAGCTACAGCAGGTTGGCAGTGAGCTACTGGTACACTGATTTGTACACAGGGCTACTAGTCTTATATAATAAAAGGCTAATATGCAAATAGATTGAACTGCAGAATGACCAGTTGCTATGACATGCACTGACCACCAGGGAGCAGACACCCAATAAAGGAGCTGTCCCTTGGTGGTCAGTGAGCTCCCACAGGGGAGCGCTGGTCAGCCACAACCCTGGCTAATGGCTGGCGGTGGCAGGAGACTCGCCCGCCTCTGTGGCATAGCTAAGGATGTCCGACTGTGGAGAGCAGGCCTATGCCATCAGTTGGAACATCCTCTGAGGGCTCTTGGACTGCTAAAGGGTGCAGGTTGGGCTGAGGGGACCCCCCTTCAAGTGCACAAATTCGTGCATGGGTGGGGTCCCTCAGGGTGGCCTGAGGGGATTGAGTCCAAACTGGCAGTCCAACTCTGCCTGCCGCTCCTGCCTGCTGCTCCCACTCATCCTGACCCCCCCTGCGCCCAGTCAGTCCTGATTGGAAGAGGCTTGTGCCACCACAGTGGTGTTTGCCAGCCATGAGTCCTTCTGCTGGCACCTGTCCCAAGGGGGTTTTGGGGGTTCGGAATGCGACCTGCCCTCTGGGTAGGCAGTGAGACACCCTTGCCCTCTTGGGATCTGGATCCGTCCTGCTGATGTTTGCGCCGGTTGGCGGGAGCCACCTGGCGGCTGCTTTTATATTGTTTCTTCCTTGCGGAGCGTCTAGGGAGGGGAAGTGTCTGCAGTGCCCAAGGCTGACTTCTAGGAGGCTGGCAGCACTACTGGGTTTGTGCTGGCTGCGCCTGGCCTGTTCTCTGGAGATTGGGCCTGCAGGATAGTACTGAGGGAATGAGTGGCTGCAGCTGGGCTGCTGGGGCGGGTGGGACAGCTGAGCGGTGTTCCTGCTGTGGGAATGCATTGACCACCAGGGGGCAGCTCCTGCATTGAGCATCTGCCCCTGGTGTTCACTGTGCATCATAGCGACCTGTTGGCTGGTCCTTTGGTCGTTTAGTCGCTTAAGCTTTATATATATATATACACACACACACACACACACACACACACACACACACACATACATACATACCACTGGCCCGGTGCATGAAATTCATGTGCCGGTGTGTGTGTGGGGCGGTGTTCCCCTCAGCCTAGCCTGAACCCTCTCCAATTGGGGACCTCTTGTGGGATGTCCGACCACAGGTCAGACATCCCTTTTGCAACCTGGGACTGCTGGCTCTTAATTTCTCACCAGCCTGCCTGCCTGATTGCCCCTAACTCCTCTGCCTGCCTGCCTGATCGCCCCTAACCTCTCTGCCTGCCTGCTTTATCACTCCTAACTACAGCTATCTGCCTGCCTGGTCACCCCTAATTGCCCTCATCTGCTGGCCTGATCTCACCCCAACTGCTTTTCCCTGCTGACCTGATCTCACTCCCAACAGCCTCTGCCTGCCTGATCTCCCCCCAACTGCACTCCCTTGCTGGCCTGATCTTGCCCCCAACTGCACTCTCCGCCAGCCTGGTCGCCCCCAACTGCTCTCCCCTAATGGCCTGATCTTGCCCCCAGTGACCCTCCCCTGTTGGCCTAATCTTGCCCCCAGCTACTCTCCCCTGCCAGCCTGGTTGCCCTTAACTGCCCTTC